AATAATAATAATAATAATAATAACAAACAAACAATCAAAATAAAATCACCATAAGAAGAAAAATGGTAGAAAACACAAAATAATAACATTATTTTAGGTAACAAGTTTTTGTAGTCTAAATGCAGATAAATATTAATAAATAAACTAACATACATTTTTTCAAAGTAGGTAACTTACAACTACACCAGCCTATTAATATAACTATACAAATACAATTACCCAAAAACTATACAAAACGCACATTTTTATTTATATAAATATAAGTTATTATTATAAGTGAAATTATTAACAAAAAACAATGTAATTTTGTTTTAATTTATATTCTTCACTGCTGAACACTGTTGATGTTTTTGTTATTGTTATTATTCATTTTTAATAAGAGTTGTCGGTTGGTCGCCTGATTCTTGACCGACCATTTCTAAATTTTCAGTCTCGAAAGTTACTAAACATATGATAAACAACACATAAAACCAATTAGTTAAAATATTTATTTTTGTACAATTTAACATAATTATTGAACAACCTAACATTTTATTTTTGTTTGTATTAGATATTTTTTTTTCCTAAATATAATAAGTTTTCATACAAAAATAATATTTATTATAATATGATATGCCGATTTTAAATTATATTTTTATTATTTTGTGTGACATACCTTCTTTACAAGTATTTCTGGAAGTGATTTCATAGACATAATTCTAATTGTAATAACAATAGAATCATTAAAAAAGGGATTGAAAGTTAATTTTTTATTGTTATATTATAAATTATACTTATATCAATTAAAACTTTCAATGAAAACTTAATTTATATGTTTTTTTTTCAATATTTAAGTTATGCATCTTCGACTCAAAGAAGTGGTAAGATATAACAGATATCAGATAAATATTAAATATAACAAGCGTAATAAAACTATATAAATGATGTATTCATACAAAATTTACATTCATGAAAATGGATGGAAAAGTTAAATGGAGGATATACAGAAACTTTGCTCATTGTAGTAAACTCATCATTTATTAATACCTTACATTTAAATGCAAGTTTAGATAATTGTATTTACAGTTTTTAAAAAAACTTAGTTTATTATGAATATGTATTACATGTTATATTTTATTTTGATTTATTTGCTCCAACAACAATGACTATTGGCATTTAACGTATTAAAATTGTATTTATTTTTATGTTATAACAGAGGTATAAACATACAGCTCACATTTTAATTTCTTTGTGTAAACATATAAATTTAATTTTGATGGCCACCCAAAATTTCCTGAATTCCTAAAGTGGATACATAGATAATAATATAAATTATTATATTAATTGGTGATCCTCAATATTTATACATAAACGTAGGTACTTATTTTAATTAATGTTCTACTTAAAATAATAAGTTATGAGCAGGGTTTGGGACTTATAGCACTTAAATCATTAAAATAAGCACTTAAAAAACCTCTTAAAAACATCATTATAAGCACTCTAATAAGCATTTAAAAAACTTAAATTTTTGCAAAAATATTTATCAAAAAACTAAAAATTAAAAAATCAAACAAAATAAAAATAAATCTTTATCTTTATATTATAAAATAAATTAAACTTCACTATTGAGACTGAGGATTTTATAGATTTACTAAAAAATGAAATGTAAACGATATTTATAATAGTTGAAAATGTTATAAAAATGTAGAAATACTGGTCAAATAAGCAAAAATAATCAGAAAAACTGGAAATAAGCATTTTTTAGAAAAATCGCTGAAACAAGCGAAAAAAAAGCACTTTCAAAATTCATAATTAAATGTATTATAACATGACATACATTTCCTTAAGTCAATCCATAAAAATAAGCAAATGCTTAAGGTCCCGAGCCCTGGTTACGAATAATAGTTCTTTTTAAATTTTTCAAATATAATAATAGATATTATGATCACTGTTTTTTATATACAGATTATAAATAACATAGACTAATTGATAAAATGTTTGAAGCATTTCTCCAAAAAATTTAAATAAAAAACAAGAGTCCATTTTTTGCAAAATTTAATTTAAAATGTATATATTTAAAATTATAGTCATTTAATGACGGAGTTTTTTTTCAAGATGATTAAGAATCTTTTCAGATAAACATTAAGTTAATAAAAAATCATTAAGTTAACTACAGAAATTAAAACTAAAATGTAATTAGTAATTACTTTTATCKGGGCCTTCTTGTACAAGTTCATCAACTTCACACAGTTTGTCTCGATGAGTGTTTGTTTGATTGAAAAAGGCATCAGTACTCCTACCACTAATAAGAAAAAAAAATGTAAAACAAATATATACCACATTTTAATTATTTAAAACGTTAAAAAACATGTTTAACTTACAGTGTTTGGAGCTCATTAACTAAAACGACAGGACCACCACTGTAAATCTTCGACAAATAAACCCATTGGGCTTCAGTTATTGATACATAGTCAGTTTCTATATAAACAATTAAACATACATGACTACCACATCAACTAGGTAAAATAAATAAATAAAGAGCATACCTAAAGTTTTTCCATCAGATTTATCAATCAACTTTGAGTTGTCTATTGGCCCGGGTGGTTCACTGACAACACCATTCAAGAAAGATTCCCAACATTTAAACCAACTCGTTGATATAGCATAATAGGTTAATCCAGTCTAATAATAAAAATTAATAAATTTACATAAATACTGCATTATGTGATTACCAAAATTTAAAAGTTTACTGATACCGATTGTTGATTACAACATATCAATTTAAAGCCTGGATTTTAATTATTAATTATAATAAAATTAAAAACAAGCTCACAAATAATCAAATTTTAAGATTAGTAAATTATATGTGTTTGTAAGTAGGTATTTGTGTATTATTTAAATTTGTAAACAACTCATGAATGTAAAATATTGCTTACTTAATGAAAAAACCATGATAAACACTTATGTTCTTAATCTTAAATTTGAAAATAGATAATGAACTCACTAATAATAAAACTAACAACATCAAATTAGTTCTTCTAAACACAAATTCGGTATGTAAAATGTTTGTAAGACAAAATTAAAAGTTGTATTAAATATAAAAAATATAATGCAACAACTAAGATTGTGGTGGTTTTTAAAATGTTATGCACTACTAGAATCTGGATTTGAAGACAAATGGATTTTTGTTTTAGGATATACAAAAGGATAGGAAAATAATAGGAAAAATATAGGAAAATGATTATTTTATAAAAATGAGTACTATTGCATATCTATGCTAATGGGTAAAAATTATCCGAGAGCTTGTGAAGACGACCCCACTATCTATGTTATTTTTTAAAAATAGGTAATAACTAGATACTAGAAAGTACTCACACGAGTAATTATTAAAATTGTTTAATCGCTGATAGACATATTCAAAAAATATAATTATGTATGAAATATTCCCAATCACTTTGGTGGTTAAAAGGTCATTTTCTAAGTATAAGAATATTTTGAGTGCAAACTGTCAAACTTAACCAAAACAAGTTTGTAAAATTAAATGGTTGTACTTTTTTTTTATTGTTTTTTCTATGTAAAAAGCATTATATAAATGCATTATTTACATTTAAACAGCTTTTTTATTAATTATATTGATTTCAAATCTAAACCCTATATATCTTACTTGCAGACTTGCCTCCTCTTCGAGTCGCGCAAAGCCTTTTGTTTCTGTTTCAATTTTATTCCTGAACGTCATTTCAACATAATCGGCATAACAGACTTCACATCTTTGTAGCTGATTGTTGGTGCATTTTGGTCCACCATCAAATCTAATTATAACATTATTAGTATATAATTTCTGTTTAATATTGAAGTTTTCCTTACTTGCTGTGTAAATAATCCCAAATTTGTCCAGAAACCATGGTAGCAAAATGATTGATTTGTGGCTCATGAGTTGGTTTCACTCTGTTGTGGTGGCACATGAAATCATAATTATCTATAGGGCCAGGTTCAGCAAATGTATTAAACTTGGATAACCATCTTGTAGAGATAAAGCATGCTTCTGGAAAACCATTTGGCTGAGTCTTGTTTACTTGAACTTGCCGCATTTGTGTTCTAATTCTGTTGGTTAATGGACTATTTTTTCTGTAAAAATATRAAAGAAAATTCATTAGTTATTATTATAAAAAATATGTTGTTATACAAAAATATTAAATGTTTTCATCACTATTACAACTTTACAAGCAGGCTACCCACATCAAATTTTGGGGATATGTACTAAAAACTTTTGCAGCTCTATTCAAAACTTCCAATCAAATACAACCCATTACAAGTAAAACCTGAGTTCAATAGGTACATAATTTCTCTAGAGTTTGGGTTCACCTGGACGACCAGACTGACGTCGTCCCGAACACCGTTAAAAACCAAGAGAGAATAATCAGTATTGCAGCTTAGCAAGCTCGGTGGGACCGGTCTGATAAAGGCAGATGGACATACCGGCTCCTCCCTGACGTTGGGCGCTGGTTAACAAAGCCACCGCTAACCCTGACTTTCCGACTGACGCAGGTGCTTTCGGGGCACGGGTGCTTCCGGAGCTACCTGAAGAGGTTTAATCGGRCGGACAACAGTTATTGCGTATACTGCGTCAACCCCGACGACACTGCTGAGCACACGGTTTTTACCTGCCCGAGATGGATTGACGACCGCGTTCGAATGACTAAGATTATGAGGCAACCTCCGAACGCGGGCGACGTTGAAGGAATCCTGTGTGGTCCCCTGTCACATGACTTGCCAGAAGACGCCCAAGCCCGAAGGAGAATTATTAAACAGTTCGAAACTAATCGCCTGGAGTTCATCCGCATGGTCGAGACGATTCTGTCGACCAAGGAAAAGGATGWACGCGAGGAAGAGGCCTTGCGAAGGGCACAGGGGAACGTGCCCTGATGGAGAACGAAACATCCAGAGTGGTGGACTCCGGTCGGCTCGCCAATCGGATGACAGGCACGCGAATTCAAGGGCGGCGGACTCCGGTCAGCCCGAGAAGGACAGGAAGAAGTCAAGTAAAACTTGTAATATAATTAATATTTGATACTGTCAATAAACGATGGCGGCGCCGCGGAAGCAATGCAAAAGCAGATCCCGCGGCGTCGTCGGTTAAAACGGAAAAAAAAAAAAAAGGTACACAATTTCTAAGTAATCAATACCAAAAATTTAAAATAACAAAATTAATTACTTAATGCTTAATATTAGGTAAAATTAAATATTATTTCATATAAGTATCAGGTTTATGGGGGCCCTGGTTACAAGAACAGTTAATTATATAAATGTATATTTGTTACTTACTTGTAAAAAAGAACATAAGCTTCAGAATTTCGAACAATTTCAGCTGATACTAAAGTGACACACTGATCGTCAAATTCATACCATTGTTCATTTATTGGATTTAACGAATAGCATGTGTAATGACCACCACTACCAATTGTACCATGATGACAAATAACTGATACCAGTTTATATGTAGTCACTTGAGATGTACAATCTATCAATCAAAATATTTGTATCATAACTATAAGTAAAAACAAAATTTTAACAGTAGCATAATTTAGATCTTGACATACCTTTATGAACATAAGGCTGTAGATCTACACCATCAATAGGGAATGTTACATATGAAGTTATTTTAGATGAAAACATTAATTCATGCCTGAATCTTTTTAGGTGTATGCACAAAACTTCAGGCAATTCGAGAAGTTTAGAAAACTTTATACCATTACGCAGCTTTTTGCATTTTTCACAGCTAAAAAGATTAATAATTAGATTAACACAAAAGAATTTGCAGTTCAAGATATTGTTTCATACCTATACATGTTATCACCTTTAAGTTCATCAGCACTAAAAAATGCTGCTAGACAGTCATGTAAACCAACTGTTGGGCCCCAGAACCATCTGTACATCATGTCCCAAAACCAAAATATCCAATTCTAAAAGTGTAAAAATAAATTGATAACAATAACAAAAATATAGATARTAAAATATTGTGAAATGGTATATCAACTTTAAAAATAATTGTAATTAATTGAAACTAAAAAAAAATACTGAACAAAACTCAGATACTTAAATTATTTTAGGACTACTTAAAAAATGTAAGTTATTTGTAGAAAAATTACATAATATTTTATAAAATTAAAGGCTCTATYAAACAGAAAGCGTTATCTTCACGTCCGTGATTTTGTAATTTGTTAGAACACGGCATTATTCACGCGCATAAAAGCACCATGTCGACGAACCATTTACTGCTTTAACGCACGTTATAACGCATTCTGTTTAACAGAGCCTTAAACATATACAATATCAAAAATGGGCAAATTTTATTAATGGATGGCTGAAAAGTAAAAACATAAATATTTAATGGTCAAAAAATGAAATGAAATCTATATTTTTGTAAATTTTTATTAATTTTATAACATAAAACCATGATTTGCATTATAGGGAGTCGCAAGACATATTTGGTTCGCGGGTTGAGTTTCCCCAACTTTGCTTAATAGGTATACTATAATATTTTTATTTTTTAGTATTAATTAATATTTTATTTTTTTAACTAAGTTATTAGAAAAAAAAAAATGCTAATTCAATATATTATTTGATTTACCCAGGATCTAAAATCAATACAGAGTATGACACTTTTAATTTAAAAAAATAATCTAAATTACTTGTTGATTTGTGTAAATGTCGGACAATTTATGTACTGAACACAAATTGGTTGAACTTTGATGTAAAACAGTAACATGATCACGAGTAGGTATGGGAAGAGATAAATCTTGAAAAGCTTCTACCCTTGAAGACACCTATAATACAAGAGATAATTAATATATTTTTTAACTGCAAAAATGTAGATTAAATATTAATATAACAACCTAAATAATATCAAAACCTAATGGACTACAGAGCTACAATACACAATATCATAATACATTTTAACAAACTGATAATGATACTTATTTAGTTATTAATTAGAATATTTTAAAAATATATCAAGTTATCATAATTCTTTAACAAATTAATTTGATATGACACAATGATAACTAATTATTCTCTGTTAGCTATTAAGGAATAAGCTCTTCAAACAGAAAATCAACTATTAGTTTTTAATCTTTTGGAATAAATTAACATTAAGAAAAGCATAGAACATTAACATATTATATATAAACAATGTTGTAATTACAACAAAATATTTAGTCAAATTGTATTATTCTTTCATGGTCAAATTGAACTTCTCCTTTAGTTTCTTGTAGTGCGGAATTTAAATTTAATATTCTTACTCAACCAAATGGGTCTTAAACAATTTATGACACATGCTTAAAATAAATGTAAGAAACAAATATTACACAATTAATCTTTTTCTAAATTTGTGTAGTTATATAGAGTATTAATACATCATTAACATTAATGAGTTGCAATTACATACCAAGGATAATTTTATTTTGTTATAACAATGCTAAAAAGAAATTGGGATATTTTATGCAGTAAACACCATTAACAATAAATTATTTATCTTAAGCACAATGACATGAAGAACTCCATGGCCATTTGATGAGTTAATTTATTTATTTATAAAGTTCAGTTAAATGAAGTTCCTAGTTCTTAGGTATTTAATAATTTTTATTAATAAACCACTTTCCTCTGAATAAGAAAACAATTGTTGTATATTTTATTATAATAGGAGGTAAAATTATTGATAAAATAACTTACGCGGTTGCAGGTTAAACATTGAACAGAACTTAAAAGCTTTCCATCGAATATTTCAGAAATAATGCTGTTGTATTTGACATGAACTTTTTTATTTTTTTGACAGAATAATGTCTTATTTCCATGGTTTATTTTAGCAAACAGATGGCGTTCTAGTTTTTTGGTCAAGTTTATTCGCTCAGACGTCTCTTCCGACAAAGAACTTCGTTCACTTACACCAGAATCACAAGTTTCATATTCATCTATACCTTCAGAACTACTATCAGCATTAGTCAAAGACTTAAGTTCATCGTCATTGTCTGAGCATTCGTCTTTATCTTCTTCTGGGATAGCCAAATGATTTTGTTCTAAACTCTGTTTCCTTGAGGTTCCTTAATAAAATTAATACAACTATGTTACAAAATACTTTTGATATATTATTATTAATTAATTTCTGTGTATTTTTCAAAATTACCTTTATATGAATGCCTTCTAGATGGGACAATTTCAAGTTCAGGTTCTTTCAGCTCTTCATGTAACTGATCCATAAAACACCTTAAGAACTCTTGTGTGTCATGTTGATGAAATCCTCGGAACATTGGGAATGCCTACAAGCATCGATGGTAAATTTTTTTTACAGTACAAAAATATAAAAATACTGTTCAACTTACATTACGCATTGTGTATAAAATTGACGTAGGGGTGACATAGCCAGGACGTTTGGTATGCCATATTTCTTGAATGAGACGATGATAAGCTTTAGATAAACTTAAAGTTTTGTCTGTTTCTTGGTATGGGTATTCAGGAAAACAAGTCAGAAAGTAATCTGTTAATGGTGGTGTATTGGACAATGCTTGGAGTGCAGCGTTCATATAACATGTATTGCCAATGTTTTGAAGACCAGTAAGACCTAAAGCAGTTGTATAAAAATAATTATGTTAAGTAATCAAATTTGGTATCTACTTTAATACAAAAATAGCAGTCTGAATAAGTTACCCGTAGGTTTATTATCTTTGGTCAATCTGTATTCATCATCGCTGTCTTCATCAGCAGATTCCCCACTGTTATTTGCTGCTGCAGTATTACGACAAAATTCTATCGAACAATTGGAACCACGACGTACTCCGTTCAATGATCTTGTATTATTTTCAATGTTACATTCTTTGACACATAAATAACAGCACAGGCGCATAGAAGGGAGACTGAGATGTAGACAGTGGGTTTTGTTTTCCTACAATTTAAATCATTGCCTATATTATACAGTTTTCAACTCTATAGTTATTTAACTGAAAAAAATGAATAGTACTTTAAAATGAAGATAGCTGTGATCGCATCCTCCATCGTAACAGAATGCCTGCAAACAATCTGGACTTATACAGAACCATACTTCAGGCTTTTTCGATTTGCATACATAGCAAGTCAGAGTACCGGTGTGCTAAAACATAACGTTACATCGGTACGAGTGGTAAGAATGTTGACCCGGTTAAGGAAGGTAGATAAGAGAATACATACATGTTGTAAAAATTCAGCACATTTTTCGATAGACGACAAATGATGTACAGTGAAGTGTGAACAATCCTCCATTTCTGGTTACTCGGCTGGAATATTTAATTGTGTACAATCCCTTCACGATCTGCAGACATAAGAAACGATGTATATTATCCCTATGAATGTCAACGCTTAGATAAGTAACATTTTTTTAGATTTGAAGCTGATTATGTATCGGGCGGTAAGCACACACAACGGTTTGTGGTTTGAGCCGTTTTGTGTACCCGCACGTTTTGTACCAACTAAAAGCGTGTCTACAGTGTCTACACAGCAGTCGGGTAGATACTAGGTGAAAATTATCAAAAATACAAAATCACTAACCGGGAAATTTTGTCCAAGCGGTTGACCGTGACACCGAGACTCGAGTAGTCGAGTCTATCACCATCAGCTAAACAGAAATATCGTAGCGGATTATCATTGGCTCTGCGAACTGCGAATTATCCATAAAAAATCGAAATTGTTAACAAACTTTATGAAGCAGCACGCCTGCGCTTTGCGGAATCGGCAATTTTCAGAAAGTCGGAAATGTAAAAAATAAATAAATAAAAACCGATCGATAAGAGTAGGACCCAGGGATTCTTGATTGACGATTGGTAAAGTCTAAAAAATGTTAAAAACTCGGGACGGGACCGATAAAAGTGAGTATATGCGTGATAAGTAGCTGAACGAGCAATTATTTTGTGCAATATGCACTTGCAAAATTGTAATTACTTTTATTTTTTAATGATATTATAATAGGTACATGTTGAACCTGTAATGGCTGTAATAGAGAATAGACTGGAAAAGTGTAAAGTGTAAAAGGTAAAACTGTAAAGTGTATGTGATTAAATGCGAAGTTCTTTATAGTAATTTCCACCAGAGTACCAGCATAGAACAGTTGTACCAGACACCAGTTCACCTTCGCAGTACTGCCGTATGCGCAGCGAAAAATTATGTTCTAAATCCCGTAATGGGTTAGGAATCTTATCTCCAATAATCGATAATAGTAAGTTCTGCACTTCTGCCCACGATTTAAKATGATATATTATCTTAAATCGTGCTTCTGCGCTTCTGCCACAGAATCACGGACTATGATTATAATCATAGTCCGTGCACAGAATAGATGAAATCAGAAAAAAGCAATAAAGCAAGGAACGTTTTGCATGTAGTGAGGATGGTGGCCGCCATCTTCTTATTTATGCTGTTAGAGAATTTGTTAGGTTATGAAATTAAGTTGTAATGATAAATGAACACTATCAATTATCAATTATCATTTATCATACATTCATACATCGAGTTTTATACATATGCGACTCATCGCTATATGAATATGATATTTCACAATTGACACAATTCACTTTTACATATTTATATATTATTCTGTGCTTGAGCTAATTGTTATTTGCATTAATTTAAATTTTTTTCGTCTTTGTTTGTGGTTGTTGGTGTATAACGTTATGGAGGACAGTTTTTTAACAACTGTGCTTTACGTTGAGTTAAACATTTTCCTACCCTTGCACAAGTTAAACAATGATAGGCATTTGATATTATTATAGGACAATTTAAATGCCTTTTTATAAGCATGGTATCAACTAAAATATTATCTTTATTCGAAAAAAGAGATTCACATCTAAGAGAAAATCAAATAAATATATTATTAACACAAAATCATGATACATACACTTATTTATTACTAAGAATTTACTTGTTCAAGTATAGCAAATCCAGTCCTTTGCAGATTCTGACTGACATTAATTCATTTATCAGAGTTGTTAAATGCTCTTGACTTTCAAGTCTATTGAACAAGTTTATAAAATTTATACAACTAAAATTTTTGCCCTAAATATTTACAAATATTTTTAAATTTTGATCGATAGTAATTGATTTGCAAATAAATGAACTAAAAATGTCTGCTTTTTGGATAAAAATAATTTCCGATATACCAAATAATTATTTGTTGTGTGATAAATATGTATGCCAGTTTGGTGGCAAGTTTAATTTTGATGTAACTAGTTTTTCAAATGACAGTTTTTCGTTATCATTCTGTTTACTGCATGATATAAGAATATTCTACAAAAAAATTGTAAGAATAATAATTTAATGTTTTATGTAAGTAATGTTTTATGAATACATTTTAATGATTAATAAATCTATAGCCTACTTGATGAACTACTATATTAAAATTTGACATTGACCACATTGTTGTACTCTCATTATCAATATCGTCAATTTTATTAGAACGTCTTTATCAATATTGTAAATTAGGATATTAGAAAAAAAAGTCCCCGTTCAGAAAGTCCCACGGATAAAAATTCCAAATTAATATTTTATCGTAGATAAATATTATATAGTACATAATTTGGTACATTTAAAATGTATTGAAAATAATATGATAACATAATATCTTAAACATATAATAATATTATTTAAAAAAATATAAAAGATCTGAAAATAATATAATAGTATAATATCACATCGGAAAAAAAACAAAAGCTGGTAAAAAAATCGAAGTTCGATTGAACATGTTATGTCAACGTTTTGATGAAGACAAATCTGCAGATATTCCTAATTTTTTAAAGCAAATAGGTTAAAATATAAGAAAGAGATCTTTTATATCTGAATAATTACATTTTTATATTGTTTAAATAATATTATATTGTTATATTATTTTCAATAAATTTAAAATGTACCTAATTATGTATATAAATACTTATGTATCTACGATAATTTTTAATCCTTGAATTATTTTCAAAAAAATTTGTAACATGTATATTACCTATGGGCTATGTATACATATATGATAAAAGACTGAATTTAAATAAAATATTAATTTGAAAATTTTTTTCCGTGGGACTTTCTTACCGGGGACTTTTTTCCCGAAACTTTTTACATCGGGGACGTTTTTTCCGTTTACCGTCAATTAGAACGTCATTAGCTTGCTATAGTTGAATAACTACAAAAAGATGAATAATTGTGTTCTAACTGTACATAAGAACCCTGCTCTTTTTGAAGTTCTTCAGTGTTGTCACAAAATAATTCCTATACCTTTTTTTGTGAAAGTTATGTAAAATAATTGTTGTGCATTATAACTGATTATTGTTTCCGAATCTATTTACTTTTACAAAATATGTGCTAGAAGGTGTGCATTCTTTTATTAATGGTACAGCATTTGACTGCAAACGAGGCCGTAATAATTTACTCTAAACAGCAATTATAATTAACGTAACATTATTTAAATAAATACTGCGAGACATAAGTAAACAATGCATATTTTTTTTTAAAGAAATTTAATTACATATTATTATTCAATAAAATAGTAAAGTTCTAAGTTATTATTAATTATCTCATTTAATACTTACATACAATAAATTAAATTTATTATAAATTAGTCTACATAAGTATATTAATCGAAGTATACTTACTGAATAAAAGACATTTCCTAAATCATCAGTTATAACATTTTTTTTTTTTATTTGGTCTTCTGTGAAATGTTCTTCACAAATCACATGATTTGAATCAAAAATATCTACGCCGAAGGCATTAGACCATTCATTTTTTTTTAAATGTAATCCTAAGGTAATCAAAATACGGAAAGTTTTTTAAACTTATTGCATCCAAAGTAACAAATCTTGTTTGGCATTGTGAAGAAGGTGAACGGAAAATCTTCTTCATTCGATCATTATAAATTTTTCAAAAAAATATAATTGTTTGTAAAACATTTATAAACAAACATTTTCTAAGAAAAATTAGCTTATAGGTATAAATAATTAAACTTATAACTTTCGAGCTTTTATATTATATATTATGGTGACTATAATAGTATAATGGTTAATTTATATTAAAATATAACCAATTTTAGGAGCATTTTTTGTATTGACTATGTATAACCATCAGCGGCTTATTCAACGCTCTATTCTAATCTAAGGTGATTAAAATTGGAACTGTTTTCGCCTCTTTAGCGGATGCATTATTATTGGGATGGCGGGGGGGAGCTGTCCGACCTTATCTTCTAAGACCGTGCATAATATTGTTTTTGAGACCATGCGGTAAGAATTGCACAGAGGTTATAAATATTATGTTATAAATATACTGAGTATAAGATCTATGGGTAGTCGTTTTAGATTTTAGTAAACGTTTTTCTATTTTCAGCGTAATACACAGATATATCTTTTATACAGGGGTGTCGCTCGAGGATTTACCCATTGCGATATCTCAAGAAATAATGGAGATATTAAAATTCTGGTTTTATAATGATTCATAGGGATAAGAGCTACAATTATTTCATTTTTAATTTATTTTAATGTTTTTGTAAAAAATTCAAAAAATATATTTTTTTACTTAATTATTTCCAAAAAAATGAGTGATAGCCATTTTATTGAGTTAATTTTTCTGAAAATATTGACGTTTCAAAATCCTCACGGGACACCCTGTATATCTGTGGCGTAATATCAAAAATGAATATTATAATTTTATTTTATTGAAATGTTCTTCATTCGGTCCAAAAAATATAATTGTTTGTAAAACATTTACATACAACATTTTTTAAGAAAAATTAGCGTATGTAAATAATTAAACTTATAACTTTCGAGCTTTTATGTTGTATATGGCTACTAAGTAATGGTTAATTTATATTAAAATATAACATAATATGAAAATATTGAAAATAAATGTATTAATTGTTTTTTCATAATTTTAGTTTCTTACAAATTATTCTACATAAGTAGTATTGCATTTGCTATGTACATATCAAATAGTAAGTATTATGATTACTATGATTATTCACTAACTCACATCAAATTTTAAAAGCTAACTAAGATTGAAATAAAATATAATAAAATAAAATTACATATTATACTGTGTTCAGCAAGAGATTGTACTGCAGACTGACCAAAATGAGTTCTTCTGTACATATTTACCCGACACTTTCCTAAAAGCAACCAGTTTGGTCTAGCAGGGTGACGTGGAGGGATGCATAGAATCCAAGCGTCTCTTACTGAACTGACTAAAGATAAGTTATGTCTCAACATTTTATTTTATTATATTTTATTTC